CGACGACGACGAGAGAGAGAGAGAGAGAGAGAGAGAGAGAGAGAGAGAAACCATGTTCTCAAGTACAATCTCCATGAAAAATCTACGATTTCTGAAATGGAAGGATTTATTTTATTTTGTAGCGAATTCAAGCATAAGACGACCCTTCATGTAACTTGTAATGCAGCTTCACTTCTTAATCCATAAAAGTGAAAAGAAATACAACTCCACTTAAACCATCATAATAGAAAATAATTAATTATAGAAACACTAAGTCTACAACTATGCTTAATATTATTACCATAAGGCAGAGCAATAGCTTGACAAATGGACGGTCCAGATTGTCCAACGATCGCATGCATGATGCATGTGCCATCAGTGAGCCCTTAGATTTGGTCAGGCCAAAGGAAAGCACCCATAGCATATTCCCTCTTCTCTTGTAGGGTACCCTCCACAAACAGTCCATATTCTTTCAAAAGCAAGTCCACTCTCCACTCGGGCATTTTCATGTAGTCTTCCTTGGTGTAACGAGGGTAATGCAAAGGCATTTGAAAATCGCTAACCTTAGGGTACCCTACACAAAAGGTCCTTTTAGCCTCTCTTTCTCTAGATTGCCCTGACCCATTGGATTTCTCTTCTCTCCCATGCCCCAATGCATTAGCCCCTATGAAGTTCCCCTCCAGTTGCTTCCCTAGTACATGGGTGATGATGTGTGTGTGGATGAAGGTTTCTAAGGCCACAAATCCAATGCTCAGCCCCATGATAAGAGAGAATATAGGTCACAAGCATTCAACCTATGTGACTCCACTATGTAAATATATATATATACAGCCCTGTAGCCCTAAACCTAATGGACCACTGCTTAATTGGGGTTTGGAGTGCATTCTAGATAATTCTATTTTGGGGATGGTTTATTATCTAATGGTGGTCATTAGATTCTTGAGGGACAAGTTTCAAGGATTTTATTGAATGTGGTGGTTGATTGGTCTTTGTGTGTTTTGGGGTACGCATGGTGGTTATGAGTCAATTGTCGGAGGGCACAATTAGATAAGTGGGGTTAGAGTCTATGGGCTCCATGGTTTTATGGTGGGTTTATGGGTCCGAGGAAATGGTTTCAACCAGTGGTTGTGGGTCTATGGGTGGGAGGAAATGGTTTCAACCGTGGTTTAAAAATCGGTCTATGGGTGGGAGGAAACGATTTCAACTGTGGTTTAAAATCACTGAATCAGCACAGACTCGGGCGATTCGACACGGGAATCGGTTACCTCATGTTGATTCTAGCTCAAAACGGGAAACCGCCCGTGTTTAGAAAGGAACCGGGAGGAGTCGCGATTTTGACGATTCCCGTGTTGATTCTAGCTCATGATTCCCGTGTTGATTCTAGCTCATGATTCCCGTGTTGATTCTAGCTCAAACAACGTGTTGAGAAAGGAAGACGATTTCCATGTCGATTCTAGCTCAAAACAATGTGTTGAGAAAGGAACCGGGCGGAGTCGAGCGATTTTGACGTGACGGATTACGAGGAGTTGGGCGATTTGTATGTTTAGAAAGGAACCGAGCGGAGTCGGCCGATTTTGACGTGACGAATTACGAGGAGTTGGGGGATTTGTGTGTTTAGAAAGGAACCGGGCGGAGTCGGGCAATTTTCACGTGACAGATTACGACATCATAGAACGGATTATGATGTGGCCATGTTAGAGGGTATTTTTATAATTTTCTTTACAAATGGGATAATTACAGTATTATACAAGTACGGCCACGTGTGCCTCTGTTAGCTGCATGATTGATCATGCTTTTCAAGCGCATGATGAGACATGGTATTGAGGAGGGTTTTACTGACGTAAAACTTCTCTTATTTTTTCGATGTGGGATTTGAGCATGGTACTTAAGCTTGAAAAGATAATACAATATAACCTTTTATTATAAAAAGCAAGACAACAAGTGGTGCTGTGGTATATTTGGTTATCAGGTTCGTTGTACATAAAACGTTCCTACTTCAAACTTGTGCAGCACTATGTTTTCATTTTTTTGTCAAAAATAAAAATAAAAGTTACTTTATTGTCAAAAAATAAAATAAAAGGTAATACAACATGTATTTATTGTCAAAAAATAAATAAAAGATAATACAACAAGTATTATTGTCAAAAAATAAATAAAAGGTAATACAACAAATATTTATTGTCAAAAAATAAATAAAAGGTAATACAACGAGCATCATGTTTTTCAAGCATGCATTTGAGATGCGATTATTGTAAGCTTAAATTAGATATGTAAAGGTAATACAATATAGGCTTGAAGTATGTCAACTCTTTTTCTCTCTCGCATAAATAAATGGCTATTGTTAATTTTTTTTTTTTTAACTTAGGAATAAATGGTCTAATTGTATGTTTTATTTTTATCACATGGTGGTCTTTAAAATAAATGTAAGAATAGTAATTTAAAGATAGGGTTCATACAATGAAAAAATCTTTCTCACTACTAACAATCTCTTCCACAAAATTTATTCTAGAAACCTAAAAAATTAGATTTTTGAAAAATAAACATGTTATTTCGGAAATTTGTATGCATCCTAATAATTTATATATTGATATAATTTATTTACATTATAAATTATGTAACGTACTAGTTTTCTAACATTTGTCAATAATATATTTTAAATTAGATGATAGTATAAGATATTTTGGATTTATTATTATTTGTATAGTAAAATAATTATAAAATGTAAACCAATAATTTCAGTTTCAGTATATAATATTATAGTTAGTTAGGTTGTAATAGTTTGGGTTTTTTTTGGTGGATTAGGGTTTTCTGCTAATTCGAGATTTTGGTGGCCATTTTTTCATCGATTTAATCCATTCCTTATTGTAGTAAATGTATGATTATATACTTTATCTATGATAATTCTATGATTTTTTTTTTTTGTGATGTAAATTTAATGGTTAACATAAATTCATACAAGGAAAGAACATCTCAATATTTGCATATTGATGAAAAAAAATGAAAGTTAATAATGTAGTACCCCATTTCTTATTGGATTCCAAAAAAAGAATATTTCCAATAAATTTTTATAATTTTTTTGGATTTTTTTATTGCCGAATCCAACGGATTCGGCTGATTCTCGATTCAGACCGTTGATTTACCGATCCGAACGAGTTTTTGGGATGCTCGATCCAAGGCACCGATGTGTTTTTCAAACCACTCGATTCAACTTTGAAGATACGGATGGATGGAAATGGTTAGCTGAAAACTGGCCGATTTTGGGCCTGATACTTTGTTTGGGGGAGGGGAGGGGAGGGGAGGTATGTCTATCCTAGTGTTTGCAAAATCGTACCAGAACGGTTAATCGAAAATAGGGCCAAAAGCGGCTTAAACGGCCTAACCGGTAAATCGGTTGATTCAACCGTTCTAACCGGGCAAATCCTGGATGACCAAAAAATTGTTGAAAGAAATAAAAAAGATGTAAAAAAAAAATCTACTAAAATATGAAAAGCAAATAAAGAATGTTTAAAACAAAACACATTCAAATGAAGTTGAATACTAATAAAAAAATGGATTTTAAAAGTGAGTATTAATGACCAAAATAATTTTTAATATTTACTATAATGTAAATAATATTAAAAAATGTATTACAAATCAAATTCTTTATTTTTGAGATTTTATAAATATTTTTTTGAATTTTTATTTTTAAAATATCAATCGATCACTAAAACCACCCAAAACTAGAACCAGCAAGGGGCCGGTTCCGATCTAACCAGACGGTTACCTGTTAGATCGGTCGGTTTTTCAAACAATAGTCTATCCTACTGCTAGAACGCCAAAACAGGGGGTAACCGACCTGGTTCCATCTAACCGGCCGGTCTCAATTAGAACCGGCCGATTTGTCGAACATTCATTATGGAACCGAGACCATTCATTGCTGGGAGCGTACTCTAGATTCACTCCTTTATGTCAGTGCATATTATATACTCACTCCCTCCGACAAAGCCCAGCTGAGGTGTATTTTAAGGACACCAAATTTTTGGGATTCAATCTCCTTAGAAACCAACCTCAAAAAAAATAAAATAAAAGACATTATATACCTTAAGATATATTCTTGACATAAAAGAATTGTCATAAAGATTGAAGAAATACTGCGAGATCAGATCTAAGTATAAGGAACCCAGATTGTCTTTTTGTGAAAATACCGAATCTAGAATTTCAGAGCAAGAACACCCTATTAAATAGGTCTTTTGCCCAAGGGCAATGGAAATATAGCCACTCCCCCACTGGTACATTGTTCATCCTCTAATATATAAGGGAAAGAATTTACATAAGGGTGAGGCCCTAAACCATTAAATTAAGTAGCACCTTAAAAAATTCACTAGAAAAGGTTGTTTCGATGCCTTCCTCAAATCGGTCATCTTGACGTCAAGATATATAGACATGAGAAAAAATAGATTTCAAGTCTTGGGAATAGCCCATCATGTAATACATTTTTTAGACTGTCAATTTTCAAGTGTTCATATATCCGTTTGATCTACACTATTTTTTAGACTTTAAATTTTATAATTAGATATGATAATAAACTTTCAGGCCATCATAAAGATTTCTAGTACCGAAAAAATATCTTTCGCATTATTTGAAGGTACACCATACTTTGATTGTTAGGACCTCAGCCTTATACAAACCATGTAAGCCATGAAAAAAAACTGAATATTGTCCACGAAGTCGGGCTGCGGGCTTTCAGCGACGGCGCTCATAATCCAAACAAGGTTTTCAAACTTTGCGATACATCCTTAGCGTTATGAGTTCAAATCTTGTGGCAAGGGTTGGTTGTAACCAATTAAGAGATAGAGTCTTATTGCATACATTGCCTAAAGAAGACGGGAGGAAGATAAACTCCATTACATAATGAGAAACGTTTATAAAGCAAAGGCTCTAAACAATAAAATTAGAGCGTATCTCAAATTTTCACTAGAAGTGGTTGTTTTGATGCTTAAATATCCTCAAATTAATCATCTCGATATCAAGTTGCATGGACTTTGAGAAAAAAATGGATTTCAAGTTTAGAAATACTGCATCTTGAAACAAAATTTTGGATCTTCAATTTTTAAGTTATTCAAGTTTTCATAGATCTGTTCGATCTACACTATTTTTGAAGCTTTAAATTTTATAATTAAAGATGAAAATATATTTTAAGGCTAGTCAAAGATTTCCAATATTGAAACCACATTTCTCAACACTATTTGATGGTGAGCTCTAATTTGATTGTTTAGAGCTTCGGCTCTATACAAACCGCACCCTTATATAATAATTTTAAATTTCTTAATGGGTGCGGTTTGCATAGTACCGAGGTTCTAAACAATCAAAGCAAAGCGCACCTTCAAATCATATCGAGAGATATGGTTTTAATACTGAAAATCTTTGTGATAACTTTAAAATGTTTTTTATCTCTAATTATAAAATTTCAAGTTTAAAAAATAGTATAGATCGAGCAAATCTATGAAAACTTGAAAATCTTGAACATTGACGGTCCAAAAATGTATTACAAGATGCACTATTTTCAGAACTTGAATTCTATTTTTTTCTCATGTCCATGCATCTTGATGTCGAGATATGATCAATTTGAAGATATTTGGGCATCAAAACAACCTCTTCTAATGAAATTGTTTACTTGCGCTTTAATTTGATTGTTCAGAGCCTCGGCTCTATATGTACATTTTCCTTTCTTAAAAGGATGAAGTTTCTATAAGGCTTAGGCTTCATGCAAACAAAATAAAGC